ATTAGGTGACAGCCCACATTGAGTCCATCTAAAAATGAGTTAGTGTCTATTTACAGACACAGAATTAGACAGAAAATAGCCAGTTTCCCTGGGATAGTTGAATTTATCCAAGAAATGGGTATTTTGGCATTCTACTTTATTTCACCAGTAATTAATTTGTTACTCTAAAACCATACTCTGAATTCTAATCTAACAGAACTTTATTTTAAATGTTCTTGATTCTTCCACATCTTTATTCTTGCTTACATTGATAAAGGGCAACTATCTGACTTGACACATTACAACTAAAAGGGATTTGGAGAATTTGAACATTATACTTTAGAGAAAATTATTAGGATATTAAAAGTTTAAAAATTTAGATGACCTAATTTGGAAGTAAGAAAAGTACTTATATGTGGGTGTTACCATTTTATATAGATCTTTGAATGAAAACAGACCAAAAGTTATGGTCATTTAAATTGCAACCAGGAACAGATAAAAGAAGCACAAAAGATATAAATGTGACAATCTGTGCTCCATTTTTCCCTGTCGCCTAGTTTGCAAGCTTTTTACTGCCAGTAGAGTAAAGTAGGGCCAAGCTTTCTTTGTACGGGGCCAGCCTTTTTATGGCTACTCTGATTGCTTACCTCAGATAGTGTCTAGAAATCCGCCTTGTCTCCCTATCTTGACTCTGTACTCAGGTACTTAAAAGTGAAGCAGTAAGTTATGTACTAACTCCAGTTAATTTTTCTAAATGCTTCTTTCAGTTTCTGAGATATGGAAAAATGATTTCACTCTCCCTCTTTTTGGTACTAGGGATTGAACCTAAGTCACTCTACCACTGAGTTGTATCCTCAAGCCTTTTTGTATTTTATTTTGAGACAGAGTCTTACCAAATTGCCCAGGCTGGCCTCAAATTTAGGATCCTTTTGCATCTCTGCCTGTCAGGTAGCTGGGATTGCAGGCACATATCACCATACCCGGCTTTTATTTTATATAGTCAGACCAAAAGATACTGCTAACACTTAGTAATGAGGTTTTTGGACCATTTTTGGAAGGTGCTATTAAGGGATGAATGGGTTTCTTTTTTTTTCTTTCTTTTTTTTTGGTACCAGGGATCGAACTCGGGACCTTGCGCTTGCAAGGCAGGCGATGGAACCACTGAGCTAAATCCCTGGCCCAGGGGAATGAATGTGTTTCTTGAAAATTATTAGTCTTTTTTTGTTTTGTTTTTGGTACCAGGGATCGAACTCATGACCCTGCACTTGCGAGGCAGGCAGCAGAACCACTGAGCTAAATCCCAGGCCCAGTCGTTAACTCTTAATAGAGGTTAAAGTTTAAAACTTGGTCACTTCTTAGTATTCTTTCAAATCTATGATTTCCGTTTCCAGTTCCTAATCTTCTTATTAAATTTTCTTATCCTGATGAACAAATTTGTAATTTAATATTTGCAGCTTAACTAGTGTTACACTATAATATATTCATATATATGTTTGTATGTATAAGCATTAATATGTACATATGCATATATAGTGTTAACTATGAAGTGGGTTTAACTCCATGTAACATAGAACATGACTAAACACATTGTTATTAAATTAGAGAGTTCTTGAAAAGTGAATCATGAGTCAAGAATTGCTTGTTTGTTCAGTAAATAAAGTTTTAAGATACAAAATGCTACTACTGGGTTGTGAATGTAGTGTAGCTCACTGGTAGAGCACTTGCCTAGCGTATATGAAGCCTCCATTTGGATCCTCTGCTTGGGGGCCAGGCATAAATGCTGTGTAATTGTTACAAAAATTGTAATGTGACTATTTCAGATACTTCTCTTTTGAGAATAATAAAACCAAATTCCTCATAAAATACTGAATAACATTCTCTTCTTGATGGTTTTAATTCTTTTAAAAATGTTTCTTAAAAATAAATAAATAGGGCCGGGGATTTAGCTCAGTGGTTCCAGCGCCTGCCTCGCAAGTGCAAGGTCCTGAGTTCGATTCCCCAGTACCAAAAAAAACCACCCCAAAATAAATAAATAAATAAATGAATGAATGAATGAATGAATAAATAAATAAATGTAGTTCTTTACATAGTTGTCCAAAGTATACCAAAATACCTTAGTATTTTGCAATTTCATTTATAATATT